TGGTCTATATGCTTAATAAACATCTATTGCTTTTAACCTACTTAGAATCCACATGTAAAAGAAGTTCTGTCTCAGTGAGATTTTTTTAATCAATAGCTGGGCTTTAAATTTATTTCAACATAGCACAGGCAATTTTACAAAAAGTGAGAAAGTATCATTCAACTGTTGGACAGTAGTCTGTTAAAGCATTTATGCGTAGTTTTTATCACTTTGTTAAACCAAAGGGTCTTAATCCTCAGTGTCATGTTACTAAAATTTAGCTGTTATCCATAAATACTTGACAATTACTCATTGCTCTTTTAATATAAAATATATAAATGTTTGCTATATCTTTATACCACAGTTTAGCAGTACACCATGTAGTTAATTTTACACCCATTGTGTGTTTAAGGCATATTAGCATAAATATTAATAAACCTCTAAAAATTGGAAGTATGTGGCTGCTTTTAATACTCAAAGTGACTTTTAAAAATCAAAAAAAGCATTATCTGTTTTTGAGATACTACTTATTAGCATTTGGGAAACAGGTACTTTTGGGAAACCATTGTAGCCATGATAATAATCTTTTATTTTCTCAGCCAAAGAACTTTGCATCTAGATTTTCCTGAATGCATCAGTTATGAGAAGGCTAAAGACAGTTCAAAGTAGTACTACCAGGCAAATATTATGATTAAACTATGAATTATCTTGTTAAAAACATGGAGACTGAGATTATGTAGTTCTGTAAATGATGATTATCATGTCTACAAAAAAGTTTCTTAAAGTTCAGACAAGTCAAAAAGTGAAAGTACTACCAGGCAAATATTATGATTAAACTATGAATTATCTTGTTAAAAACATGGAGACTGAGATTATGTAGTTCTGTAAATGATGATTATCATGTCTACAAAAAAGTTTCTTAAAGTTCAGACAAGTCAAAAAGTGAAAGTAATTTCTTTATTCTGCTTTCATGCTGATAATACTGTCAAAATGTACTTTTTAGTGTATCATACAGTTTTTTATGTACATAGATGAAAATGATAGACTGAAGGGTACCATTCACATCTTGGAAGAGAAATTAAAGGCTTGTGAACAGGTACGTCACACATGATCATTCTTTAGGTAGAGGAATAATATTTTATCTCTATTGTAGTTTATGTTCTTGGGTTTGCTACTGATACCATTATTGTTGCACTTTTCCTAATGTTTATCATGTGTAAAAAGAGAAGGGTTGTTCTCATGACATCAATATGAGAACGTGTTAGAGGGACTAAGAGGTCAAAACAACTAAATGCTGAGAACTCTGGCTCAATCTAAGATGCACTTGGGTTTTTTAGCTGTATTTAGCTTTAAATTCAACTTTACATTCTAAAATCTAATCCCTTGCATTAAAATACATTTTTGTGTAGAAATAAGGTTTTGATATTCACGATGCCTGCTGTACTGCCAGAGAATCAAGAACTGTCTGAATTTTGTCCATAGTTTCTTTGGTAGTAAATGCTACAAAGATAATAGGTCTCTGTGTCTCATAATAAATTCCATTTACCATCTTTCTACTTTTTATCTGTGCCATTCATTTCTGGGAAGGAGGTAACACCAGCAGGGCTAGTCGCAAGATGTGTTAGTTCTCTGTGCTAAGATTGCACATCTGTTACCTGTATAGGACTAGGAGTCTCACTGCTGGTTTTCTTTGTCTGTGTTCGTACTAACTATGAGTTAAAATTAAAATTTTTATACCAATAGAGCTGTTATCATGACAGTTTGAGAATAAAATAAGTAATGCCTTCTGAAAGACATGAAGAAACTATGCTGCTATACATTATATACATGTATGGGCATGGTGGAACTTCCTAGTGTTGTTCTGAAGGCACTTACTTGACTATGTCCATATATACTATTACCACCAATCAGAAATTGCCTTTGTGAGGGCCTCCGAGCATGGCTCTGCTGAGTGGCCGCCTACCTTGTCAGAAGGCTCTGACAAGAGCTTTGGAGTAAGCACGTCTACATTGGCAGCCAGAGCCAATTCCTTGATAATTCTGGAGTACTTACTGGAGCAAAGGTGTAATAGGCGTGCTCAGTCTGTTAGTTGAGTATCAGTGCCACCAGCACCACTACTGCTAATAACACTGACGTTTCTACTGCTGCCAGTATGAAGTAGTGGAAAAATTTGTATAAGCAATGTTACCAAAATTCATACTTTAAACCATTTTTGTTATACAATCTTACAGTCAAAAATCCACAAAGGTAAAACTGCAGCACTGTGTCAGATCCTGGACTGGGGAAAGGAATATTACCTCTCCGTTTACCTGTTCTCCTAAAAAGTACAATTTGTAATTTTATATTAACTGATAGCTGTAATACAATGAAAACTGCTACATTTTTCATCTGTGGACTTCAGCTAGATTGTGTAAGAAGTAATTGGGCATTTTGAATTTACTAGATCGAGGATAAAACAAGTAGTGAATTATAGCGTACTGTACATTTTGGCATGGATGTTGTGCTTTGCAGAAGGCTAAGAGCACAGACAGCTCAAGATTTTTATGAAGCTTTTTACATTTGCAGGAATATAAAGATCATATTGAGAAACTTATGATAGAAATTAAAAACAAAGAGGAAGACCACAAATCAGAAATAACACAGTTGAATTGCAATATAAGAAAAAAATGTAAGTTCTCTGAAGACTGAATGCTATAGTATTGGATAAAACATGTTGTAACCTGTAGGAGCTATACTTCACGTAGGATAAGTAAAAGTACAAGTTCCACTTCTTGGTGGAAGCGTATGAAAGGTAGAAGTGGGCAGTGTTTAATTGAATTTTCTCTTTGCTCAAGAGAGTAGACAGTGGCAATGAGGCAGTAGTACAGCAACACAGGATGAGCAGAAATTCCCAAACAGGCAGAACAGACACTGGGAACTTGGACCTAAAAATCTGAAAGAATGAAATTTGGGTTAAATGTTGACTGGAAAATTGCTTTGAACTATAAGCTAGACTGCTGTTAGAGTGTTCCAGCTATGCTCAGGAAAGTAGGACATTATTTTCACAAATAAATAATACTGCAATGAGAAAAAACTGATTTCAATATTAATTTTTTTCATTACTGGCATAGCCTTGAAGAGTAGGATTTTTTGGTCATTCATTTAGCTGAAAAAAGGCAGACAAACTCTTTGCAAAATATGATGCTTCTTTAAAGAGACTCCATCTTACTGAGATGGGACAGGATGGTTTTCACATAGTTTTAAAGTATGGTTTTTGCTTGAATGAAATTGTTTTGCCATGAAATACTGACCTGCTGTTCAAAAAAGTTTTAATATTTGGGAAATGATGTTATTTTTCCATCTAAACATCTTCTATAACCATCGTATTTGGTGTTACTGTGTTACTAGTTGAAATAAAAGAAGTGGAGTGTAGAGAACAGAGAGAGAAAAAAGAACTGGAAATATTAGAGCTAACTAGACAGCTGAAAATTCAAAATGAAGAGAAGCAGAATGAAATAATTAAACTGCAGATAGAGGTATGCATTACAAAGCTGAGTTAAAGATCAGTTGGGCATTGGGTAAACTTAGAAGAGACTGTGTAGGCAAAAATGTTAATTAGTACTTAACAAAGCAATATGATGGAATCTAGGAAACTTAAAAAACAATTGTCTTTACAAATATCAGTAACATGTGCTCCCTTCCGTAATGCTATCTGAGTCGCTTCTGCTCAGGAATTGAGTTCTACCCACTGTATAGGGAGGCTGAAGTTTGCTGTGTTCTTGTTTTAAATTAAATTATTTTGAAAATTTTGCTAGTTTTTGAGCTATAAAAAAAAAATTAATAAAGTTTTCTGCTTATTTTTATTCTTTTTAATTTCTGAATGCTGGGAAGATATATTTTTTATAAACTTCCAAGAGGTAAGGTCTTCTAATCCTGCGGAGATCGAGTCACAGAATTCAACGTGTATGTCATGGCTCAGGTTTTAAGCCACTCTCATTACAGAAAAAATTAAGGAAATACTTCAAACATTTCATATATTAAAAAAGAAATAAAGTGTGAAAGGGTTCAACCTGAGTTATCGTTGGAACATCAGGGAAGGGTGATGGTTTCAGAGGCTTTTAGCTTCCTCTGTATTTTCTCTTGCAGATGTGAGGCTGTGGAGCGTTCAAAATTTATTTCAGTAGTCTTCTTGTTCGTCTAAATGTATTTGGATTATAATATTTGTACTATTTACTTTTTGCAATATTTTGAAACTTTTTTTTAAGAAACATAGCTTGTACTTGCATTCTTTTTTAAATAAACTTAAGTAGCTTCATTGTCCTAGGATTAAATAGTACTTAAGCTTGCTATTACTATATTTGTATCAGGTACAAAATCCATTTTAAAAAAAAGTGAAAATTATACTTGTGTAATTTAACATACCTTTTTTCCTGTTGGGTTCTTAATGTTTTGTCTTTTCCTCATTCTTTCAGTTCAATGCTAAATTAGCAAGAGTTCAGAACAAAGCAACGAAATCATTTTCAGATGCTTCTGTCTTGCCACAAAGTATCTATCGAAGGGTACGTGCTTTAATAGCCTGTAGTCTGCAGATACTAAACACTGTTACAGCCTGTTTGAAACAGCAGTTCTCTGTGTTTGCTCTGCAACAAAACTTTGGGGGTGGGGGAGTGGGGAGGGTGGAGTTTCATGCATTACGGGTCCATCTTACTCTCCCACACATCCCTCCCACCTCTAGACAACTAATTTCATGTTTCTCTGCACTGATGTTGATATGGCTGGGGTTCAACAACAAAAGCCCACATGTGACGTGGTTTTAGTACAGAACTGTTAACCGGGGAACTTAAGACAGAACTGACATAAATGACTGCTATAAATTATATATGTGCATTATTGTTTTTGTAGGCTTGGGACTTTGGGATGTCACAAAAATAGGACTCTGGTGAAGTCATCTTTGTAATTTTGTGATACAACACACTGAGAAAAATAGTCTTATTAGAATATTTCTCATTAGTAATAGCATATTGTATTGTTACATAATTCTATGTGATGTTTAACAATGAAGCCTTTGCTTGCATTTTTACAGAAGCTGCAGCATCTCCAGGAGGAGAAAAACAAGGAAATTGAAATTCTCCGAAACACCATAAGAGACTTAGAGCAACGTCTTAATAAAGGCCAAGACATGCACTTCAAACGGAGGCGATTTTGAATAAATGACATGAAGTATTTCAGTAGTACATACCACGAGAAATAGAAACAGTATATTTCAAACTGTGCACCTGAAAGTAAAAACAAGATATGAAGAAATACGGAATATTTTTTATTGAAAATGCTCTTGTCAAATATTCCAAAGGCATGCGTTCTATGTATTCTATTCAGGGCTACTTTCTTGCTAATCAGCATTCACGATAAAAAGATTCAGGTTTTGTAGGAGTAATAATTTCCCTATTAAACCATCATTAATTATGGTGTACACTTTCAAAGCAGTTTTCCTTTCTTGAATATTCTCTTCTTCACCCAGGAATTCTTTGAACAACTATTTTTACTTCAACTCAGTTAATCAAAGGTTAGGAATGCTAAGCTACAGACAGAGAAGTTATACAAGTTTCAGTGGTGTATATATATACATCTTACTAGTCAATACAGATTTATCAAATTCAGCACTGTTACAAACAAAGATAAACATTAAACCAAGGTTAAATTTGTTCTGCCCCTCCCTCTTTTTGATACTGATACTGATTCTGCATGAAGAGTTGTTAACGCTGCTTCTCACTTTAGGCACGATCTTACTGACTTAGTGGGATTTTACAAGCTGTAGTAGTATGTATTAATGGACCCTGATACCGTATCTAAGCCACAAAAGTTAAGCACATAAATCTGTTAGTTTAAAATAATGCAATTACTGCTTGTAGCTTACATTTGAGATAAAAAGTTATTTTGGCACGTTGCTTAGGAATAAGCTTTTCTTGTGCATAATTTGTATCCCTAGGTTAGGGGAAAAAAAAAACCTAACTTTTGAATATATTCCATCTTCTTAATAAAAAATGATTAAAGTATCTGTTTTGGTTATCTTCTATTCTTGATTGCAAAACATCAGACAGGAGCCCCTACGTCATAGTTTATGCTCTTGTCCTCACAAATGCAAGCAGAATGTTAGAAGAGAAACAAGAAAGACAAATTAATCAAGAATGCAGACACCTTCCCACTGCAACTGAAAAACAAACTATGGGTCAATTAAATTCCTTTAGATTATGAAGCTCTTCATTGATGGAATCTGACAGATATTGTGTAATTCTAAGAGCACTGCTCCAAAAGTTGACTTCTTTGCAATATTTTAACTCTACACACCTGTCAGTATAATTTTTAACTGGGGGCAATAAAAACAATCTGTTAATATTTCCACTCTCGCAACTATATGAATTTAGGTTGTAGGACTCCCTTGCATTTTTAAGGTGCTTAGTTTGTTTTTCAGGCTCAATTTCTTGCCTTTTCCTGTCACTGTCAGGTGTCACTAGTTTCACTTGCTGCTGGTGACCGTCAGGCAGCCGTGAGCAGACGTCACTGTCAAGATTCAGTGATGTCCTCTGCTGACAGCTGGCCATGTCAACTGCAAGAATTTGGAAGTGCTCCATGACACCATCAAGTGACAGAATTTCCTAGCTCTTCGAACAAAAGGTGTCGACAATGACAGCATCAGCTACTAGAAGTTGAGTCTGATGCTGTCTGCCAATTTCAGGTTAATTGGTTTTTACAGCTGGTCTTCCCTTTTTTTCACAGCTTTTTATCTTGTGTAATTTCCACACTTTCTCCTGGAGGAACAGAGTCTACCTGTTCTTGACTATCTGCCTGATCACGTCTGCTATGGCCAAAAACTCTATGACGCCGACCGCTGTGAGGATGATGTCTTTGAGTTTCAGAAGGAGCCTGATGGTTCTCATTTTTTGAATGATGACTGCCCTCGCGATGGTGGTGGTGTTGTCTATGTCTGTGCAGGTTGTGGTGATGTGAATGCTGACCGGTTGGTTTGGGTTCTATCTCTGCTAGCTTTTCATCTGCTTTTTTAGTGATGTTTTCACATAGACCGTCAATCTCAGGTTCCTGCAAACCAGAAGCTTGCATTAGATATAAGGCATTATATTTAATTAAACTAGTTGTAAAATATTAATTATCTTAACATTTTTGCAGAACCTGAAACCCAATTTTAAATTATTTGTGCTACTTTGCTGAAGAAAGATATGAATGTATCAAAAAGAACCTTGTTTTACAACACTGCTGATAACTAGACAGGGTTCTTAATGTGAACTTTTAGGAATTATAATTCAAGTAATTGCTAATAAAAAGGATTCTTTTACTAGGATCCCACATCTGACCTGCCTGAGGCCTACATTTAGCTGGAAAACTGTATGATGGGATCAAAAATTATTCTTCTCATTGAACTTTCATGACTATGTACGCACGTTTCTTGATAAACCTTAAAGTAGTTCTGATCTTTAGTTATACGTAAAACAAAGCTACCCTTCTTTTACAAGGGTAACAATAACTTGTCACCTTGTATTATCACTTTTTTAAAGTAACTATTGTATACTGTGTTTAAATGTAAACTAAAAGGAATAGTAAGTCAAACCAGCTTGGATTTGGTTCCCAGGTTTTAAAAAAAATTACAATTTGTTTAAGTACCTACCCATCCCCAAAAACTAGAGTAGCTAAATGCTCACTAGCTGTACATAACTCCAGAAACAGAATTAGCCTCCAAGATTGCACTTAGATTTCTGCAAATGATTTGCATTTCTATCAAGGGCAGGAATTCAGATAATCAGTCTATTATAAATTAGATCTAATTCACTTCGAAAAATGTTTAAAACTTCTCTGTCAAGACACATGAAATGTGTAAATTCTAAATCATGTCTTTCTGGATTAACCACACAAATAATTTTTTTAAGTACCAGTCAAATCCAGTTTCCTTTCCTAGTATATATAGAACAAAACAAGAAAATACCATGTAAGAGCAGTTTCCACACTTGTTTTCACAGTATGCAATCTTAATAGATTCTTCTACATATTGGAAAGACAGGAAGGAATAGGGCAGACCCAGATGATACACCAGACGGCCGCATCTAAGGAGAGAAAGAACTTTGTGGTTACGTATACATAAACATATACCTAAAATTAAATATCTCTTCTTATCATACCTTATTTTATCCACACTGTACCGTCCCATGGAGAGTGTTTCTGTCCAAGGAGTTGACAGTCAAAAACAGTATCTGCCTTACAAACGTTTGCCCACTCAACTGCATCGGTCAGTAGTGTGAAGCATGATTTCTGGCTGACGTAGTAACTCTACTGGCAGAAGCCTCCAGTTTAGAGTCCTTTAGACTAGCAAAGGTAGACTCATTACAGACCTATCTTGCTAATGAGGAGGGCCGTTTGCATAGCGGTACAAATCACCACACAGTTGTTGCATCCTTACAAAGAATGTTTTTATGCAACATAACATGTATTTTGATTGGAATGAGCATTGCGGTGCATCCGCATTACTGATGTAGTGTGCATGAGGGGATTTTTATGGTGCAGATTTGCCCCATGTCTGTACTTGAGTGTTCTGGTGTGCACTTGACTACACAACTGGTACGTTCAAAGGAGCTGGAGTAAATGCAGAACTTGTACACGAGGGCACCTTGTTAAGTACCCCACCTGCAATGTCAACACACGGTCCTCCAGCCTTAGCTCCCTGCACGTCTGCAGCGCACGTCTAGGACCAGCAACAGGCAAAGACTTCATTGCCAATAAAGGCACAATAAGGACATACATTCCTAGAACCATAATGGACCATGGCCAAACCAGTGCCAAACCAATTCGTAGTGCAGGTGTACCCTCTGTGTCGACACCACAGAACTGTTCAACCTTTCAAATGCCGTGGGCCAGGCATCAGCTTTGGGGCCCCTCCAAGGGCTACACACAGCCTTGCTCTGTTTGTCTGTCATGTGACAGCAGCCTTCCACACTCGGGCCTATTTGCTGCTGTAACAGGCAATCACTTTCTAAAGATCGTTCCAGTGCTAGTTTCATCCCACAAGCCTAATTTAGCTAATTCATTCAATTTCATCATATTACCAAAAAAAAAGTTAAGTAACTTTCTAATTCTTTATTAAATTTAATTATGCTTCAGTATGAACTGAGAATGTTTGTTACAGTAACATAATAGTAATTAGGATGGACATGTTAGAAGTGCAGGACTTGTCAAATAATTTCCATTGCATCAAAACTGAAAATTCAGGATTTCAATTAAAGAGTTAGTATTGGTTCTGCCAAAAGATACATGTCCCAGAATCCTATGATCAAAAAGCTGTTTTATTCCAAAGTTTTAAGTTTCACCTAAAGACTAATTTTTCCATAAGGCTACATGACATTTTCAACAACTCCAGTCAAAATGTTTTCATGAGAACTCAGATAGCTTTTCTCATTTGATTCTACTTTCACTTGCATGGATGTAATGAAGTTGTCTGAAAATAAAAACAGTGTAAGACCAGAATCATGCTATCAAATTCTACACTCGGTTACATTAATCTAAATCCACAGTAGTTATAAAGAAAAATGTATTTATCCCGAACTTACTTAAGCAAAAGCAGACCTTTTTTTTGTAGCTTCCTTTTTCCAGTACATGCAAGTGCTTTACTTAATGCAACTTAGAAGTTGATTATGGTGTCTTTGTTGTGAGGTAATCCGGCTATTTGCAAATCAATGAAATAATATGGAGATTTACAAAGCATTACTCTAAATACATCCAAATATTTTCCTGTGTTCCCCTCTAAACACAGACCTGTCATAGATGAGAAAGTCATCTTTGTTTCCATTTAAGGTAGTCCAGACATCAGCTTGCTGTTCATCTTGCTGGTAGACAGTAATATAGTCTGAAACACTTTCTTTCAGTAGGTGAAATTTCCTCTGGGAGTAAGTTCCCTGATGGTTGACAACCACATACGAGATATTGACCAGTCCTTCATTCTCTAACTTCACTCGCAGGTCCTCCAGTCTAGTGGAGAATGTAAAGAAGCAAGACCATCAATCGTTAGAGAATCATAAGATTTGCCATGTTCAACAGAAGTTAATATGCTCCATCTCGCTTTTATTACAGTGAATGTTATTTTCTCCCAGTTTTAATGGCAGCAATCTAGCACTATTAAAACATTCTTGCTATTTGCCATGACTATCAACTACACTGTCACCAAACCAGACTCTACAATAGCTAATATGCCGTGGGTCCTGTCCTTATAAGTAGAATGCAGTACTAAGTAAAGCAGACATCTGTTTTCAGATTGAATTCAGTGTTATTTTTATTTCAGTTCTTTCACGCTCGTCATGGTCTAACACAGTTAGTTTATCTGATGTCTTTATTTAAATGCTGAGGTTTTGGTCACAGAATTGGTTAAAGAATGCATACCGTAAATACAGCAGGAAGAGGAATAATCAGGAAAGCAAACCTGCAGTAAAAGGCCAATAGCTCTCCTGCTCATCTTGACATGG